CAGTATCCGATTAAAAATTTGTCATGCATGAATATGTATAAACATATATAAATATGTATAAATATTCATAAACATATATAAATATGTATAAATATTCATAAACATATATAAATATGTATAAATATTCATAAACATATATAATTTTATATGAAATATGTCCATACATGTTCGTACATCCTTTTTTTTGTAAAATTACTTTTTAATGTAATAGAAATAATAGTAGTAACGTAAAAATAATTAAAAAGTAATTTTCGCCCTATTTGTTTTAGAAAACATCAAGTTTGAAGAAATATAAAAAAATTACTTATGTATAATTATATATAAAATTATGCATAGTTTATGTATAAGCATATTTATGTATAATTTTTTTGACATTTTTCCGAACTTATTTTTTTCTAAAACAAACAATACAAAAATGATTCCTTTAATTTTTTATGTTTTCACATTACTATTATTATTTTTATTATACTAAAAAGTAATTTTACAAAAGAAAGAAGTATTGTGACATGTATGGATATATTTTATATACATGTTTATGAACATTTATGCGTGTTTATATATATTTATGTATGTTCATGTATGAAAAATTCGTTAATTTTTACCGAGTAGTTATATTCAAATGTACATATATACATAGAGATAATAAATTATAGACGTTTCGGCCAAAACTGGGCTACTTTTAGTATGTCAAAATGATAAGATAAAAAGTGTATAATTTAAAGTAATAATGGAGTGTCAATATAATAAAAATATTAGCGCGGTTAGTACAAAGATTCCCACAGATAAAACATACAACTATCTAGTCGCTATAAATGCAGTTATTTTGTACTGGGTCTATGATGATTCAGTTTTGTTATTTCTTATTCATTGCATTTTTACAATTATTTCCATTTCACTTAAACGTTGTGCAAACATAAGAATTCCAGGCATAATTTATGATATTTATATTGTAAAATTAATATAAATTGCAAAATTATGAATTATATTGTTATTTTAACAATTTTTTAAAAATAAAACATACTCAGTGTTAGAAATAACTTAGCAATTATATCGAGTTGAAGAAATTTAAAAAAAATCAAATAGAAAACAAAAATCTATTTTAATAACGTGTCTGCAAAATGATCGGTGTCGCGATAATACAGATTTTTTTATATAAACGTAAATAATTGTTATACTATTACATTAAATGACATAAAGAAATAAACTTTTTGATTTGTAAAGTCACAACAGTATATAGCATGACAAAGATGAAAATATAAAAAAATACATGCATTAATTGCTATAAAAATTTATTACGATTAATTAGTTTAAAATCAATATATTTTAATGTCACATTTAATATACGTTCAAGACGAAATTGAGAAACGACAAATTAACCAAAATAAAATTGTATATAGGCTACAAGTAAAAGATGGATGTCAATTGCTACAATGATATTTAATATTTAAAACATGGATAAGAATATAACATAGATAAACATTTTAAACCTTTATTAGATTTTGAAGAAATATCAGGGGTAGATTTCTGACGCGTTGGGAAAAAAGAGGA